GAGCAGGTGTGAGTTTTGCAGATTTATCTCACAGTGATTTCCCTGGTGCCTCACTCCCCATGGGCTCAAAACCTGCCCTCACACCCATATGGTAAGAGCCTCCCAGTCTCCCAAGGAAGGTGGAGAAAAATTCACTTCCTCTTCCAAGAACCAAATAGGAAGGGCAGAGATGACTTAAAAAGTGATTGAAATGGTGACGTAGGATCAAACTGAAAATGCCCATTAAACCCCCTGCCTTTTCTGAGAAGAAAATTGACAGATAAGGAGGGCAGCAGGCCTTGAAGAGCACAAAGGTCAACACAGAAAGAAATGAGAGGAAACAGCTCTTCCTAGAGTGGAAAACATAAGGGCCCTTGCCTTCCTCGGCCCCAGCCTTGGGGATCTGAATAAATAGAATGCAAAGGGTGTGGGCTGGGATCCCTGGGATTCTCCACGAATCAGGAGTACTTGTTCCAGAAAAATACTCTCAAGGAGAAATGTTTGGCAATAAGTTTGGTTATTCCTGTAGGATTGTTTTGAGACTAAGCTACGCAACTATCAGAAACGGTTTATCACTTATAAGATAGTTTAGAGATTTAAAAATAAGTAACAGTAGTAGTAATAATAATAATTGCTATTATTATTATTGAAGACTTTCTTTACCTATATTTTCTTCGAGCAGTTTGCTTCGCAGAGCAAAATGGCCTCTGCTACAGAATACAGGTAATAAGACTGTAATGGCAAACTTCCAGCTCTAAGATAAATAAGTTCTGGGATGTTAACATACAGCCTGTGACTGTAGTCAACAACGGGGTATTGTGTACTTGAAAGCTGCTAAGAGAGTAGATCTTAAATGTTCTCACCACACACACACACAAAAGGTAATTAGGTGATGGAGGTGGTAACTAACCTTATTATGATCATCGTTTTGTACCATATATTCGTATCAAATCATCACGTTGTACACGTTAAACTGCCACGATTTTATGTGTGTTATATCTCAGTCAAGCTGGAGGGGGAAATAAGGCGGCATCGGGAATTGCTAATCTAGTTCTTAGAATAGTGGCTGCTGACCTTATAAAGGAGCAGCAGTGGCCACACCAGGCCAGGCCAGAGTCTGCAGCAGGCGGTGCGGCGAAGGGTGTCTCTAGCCATGCAGGTCTCCTCTCTGATCCCGTGAATGTCACCAGAGGTACCCAGTGACAATTTCCACAATTTTATGACCCTTGGCTGTCATCCCAGTAGCAAATAAGTCATAAGCCATTCTCTTCCCCTCTGTAAAATTCCACTGCTACACCCTGGCCTTTCCACCAAGATTTTTCTGAAACAGTGAAAACAGAGAGTAGAGCTACATCTCCTTTATGTAACATCAGCATATTTCTTCGGCCACCTCTGACCCCTCGCTGCCCCCCTCCCTGTCCTCCTGCCACAAAGCACTGAGGATGGAGCAGTAAGGGGCAAGCTCGATACCAAAGAATAAAGGAAATGCTTATTCCTTTGCCCTTCAGTGGATACGTTACTAAAAGCTGAGGGATTGGTCATTTCTATATTGTATAAAATATCTAGAACAATGTGGTTATTTAATACTGATAAATATAGAAAAGCTATTTTCTGTGTTGTTATAGAATTAAGGGGAGATTGACTTGAACAAAAAGTACCATAGGAAGAAACAGGTAAAGTGTGAATTCTGAATGAGCAAGCCAAAATAGTCTTTGTCAGGCAGAAGGCTGTCCACAGAAGTATAGTCATGTTACTCAAGTAGATATTGGAGTTCAGGAACCAAACAAGAAAGGAAGCTTCTGTCAGATCTATAGGATCAGGGTCAAGGTAGGGTTCAGAGCAGGTGCTGGGTGTTAGACAGGTTGAGGTTGCCGCTGGGAAGTGAGAGCACATCCAGGATGAAGTATAGACAGAACACGACTGCTGACAGGACAGGAGCTGCCTGGACTCTGCCTTAGTTTGGGTGGAAAAGTATTGGCAGGTTTTTCTTTATTCTCCAGAGTGAGGCCAGGCTCCATAGGTGCTTGTGACTGGTAATTGCTCTATAGCTAGAAAAGTAAGCTCTCCTCGAAGCCTGATCAGTTAGAGTGCTTTATTCCATCAACTGAGTGCCTCCCATATATAACAAACCCGGCTTAATGCTAGGGGGAAAAAAGAAGTATAACCTGTAGCTCGCGTCTTCCGAATATAGCCTGGTTATGGAAACATGACTTAAACGTATAAAAAGTTATATAGCACAAAAGATAAGTAATTCAATTCAAGGCAAGAGATTCTGCAAGGCAGAAATGCAGTTTGTGGGCAAATGGGCAGTGCACATGGTAAGTGCCTTAGGAATGGAGAGTTGGGAATATCAGTGTAGGTTGGAGTTGCCTGGGAAGAGGAGGCATCTGAGTTGTCTTATCTTTGGATAAGCTGAGAGAAGAGGTGAAGGCATGTCGGATGGGGGAATTGTGTGAGAGCATGGAGGCAGGAACTGTAAGAGACATTCTAGAAACAGTGAGTAGAACAGCTTAATTTAAATTGATGGTTCAGGAAGGTTAATAGTTGGAGGTGAAGCCAACAAAGCAGTTGAAATAAAAATGTGAAGGTGTTAAGAGTCCTCAAATTTATCTTCTAGACACTAAGGAATCATTGAAAGTTTCTGGACAGAGACGTGACATGCTTAGAAATGTTCTAGGAAGATAATCTTGTGGCTGAATATGGGCAAATTAGAGGAAGAAAGAGTGCTCAGGTAGACCAGATGTCTGTGCTTGCTTTTGTCTACTGGAGAGTGTTAAATGCTTTAACTATGGAAGAGGCAGCAAGAACAGAAACAAAGAGATGGTTACAAGAGACATTTTGAAGGACAGAGAAATGAGACTCCAAATCTTCTTGTCTGTGGAGGCAAAGAAGAATCCTCAAAGGTTTGGAACCAAGTGACTAGAAGAATATTTTATGAACAGCCATGCGGACATTATCATGGAGGGCGAAATGGCTAGATTTTTAGGAAAAGGTAAGGAGTTCATCTTTGGAAGATCATCCTTGATTTTGTAGCAGGAGGCAGAAATACGTCACTGGAAGGCACAAGGGAGCATTTCGCCTGTGATGAACGTGTCGGGGTCGCCTGCATAGAGGTGACAGCTTCGATCCAGAGAGAACAGAGTCCAAACATTGGAGACGCCCACATTTTAAAGGAGGAAGAGGAAGAGGAACCAGCCAGCACACAATGTGCAGTCAGACGCGGGATAGGGAGGTTACAGATTTACACAGCACAGATAAGAGCATCAAGAAGGAAGTCATGGTCAGCAGTATCAGATTGGTCCGTTTGCCGAGAGGTCAAAGGGATTAGAGGCTGAAAAAAGGCCGTAGGATTAGGCAATTAGGAAGTCGTTTACCTTTAAGAACAGAGTCCTGTAGTGTGTGTATGTGTGTGGGGAGATGGATTAAGGAGTGAGGCCTTGAAGAAAAGGGAGCATAAACCATTGGATTACAGGTGAGAAGAAGGGAAGTATCAAAAAGGAAGAATACGGCTGTTACTCCTCTTACCTTCCAAGTTGGGGGTTGCCATGTGCAGATGTGAAGGCAGAAGAGAAAGATTGTCACTGATTCTTTTGGCAATAAGTACCTACTAAGGACTTGGATCCAATCAACAGGGAGAAGTTGAAAGCCATCAGAGTGGACAGCGGAGGGAGCATAGCATTCAAGAGAAAATGAGAGAGGCTGAATCGTGAGAATAGGGGGAACTTTTAGTGTTGGAACAGAGAGACACCTCTTCCTCTGAGACCAGAAAGATGGAAGAGAGGATGGATGCAAATTCAGGAGTGTTTTGAAATGAGAATAAAGGTGGACAGCAAGGCTGCTGGCCTCAGGCTTCTGGACAAAGTGGAAGATGGGTTGTTGCTGAGAGAGAGGGTGGACTAGGGTGATGGGTGACGAGGAGAAAAGGAAAATGTTAAATAACCACCCTAGGTAACGCTACGGGGTCAGAGAGACACGAACACTGGGATCGCTAAACGCCAACGGTGCTTGATCGAAACCCCACTTTCCTTATGCTTTTATAGGAAATGTTTCTCAACTGCAGCTTAGAAGATGGGCAGTGTTTCTGCTTTTACCTGTAAGGACTTATCCTTCCTCATCACCTTGTTACTTCTCCTTAATTAATTTTTATGAATTTTTGTTTGTTTCCACTATCACCATAATTATAAATTGTACAGCCATTCCAGAGTTATGGTCTTACAGATTTCTGAGGTTATCTAAATTGTGGGTGAGGTTTTGATATGAAATAGTATTACTTTCTAGATAAATTTATTGATAGATAAATTTAGCAGGAGCGCTGAGTGAACAGAGCCCATGAATTGTGCTGCCCACTCCTCCCCTCCAAAACAAAGCTGATAAAATGATTTCAGACTATCTAAATGAAAACATCAGACCAACTGCTGGTCGATTCAACCCTACAGAATCATTTAAGGTGACTGAGATGCCAGGGGGTCATTATGGTTCATCCAGAAGCCAGCAGATCACGAGTGGCTCTGTGATCGGACCTGTATGGAAGCTGTTTCCTCACATGAGTAAGCCTGACAGTCTTAGGGCCTGTGACAGAGAGGAGCTGGCCACGTGAGACAACTAAGTATGTGACAGCTGGGCCACCTGATACAGTCTTCAGTTTTAATAGGATTGCAGCCCAGTGAGAACTGAGGAAGAATTTGTTTCTATCACAAACAATATTTATTTTTAAAAAACTACATAATGAACTAAGTTCTGGTATTCTAATTGTGTTTCTGAGTCTTGAATGTATTCCCACCCTGCAAGTCTCCCACCCTCCTGATGGTGGCGGGCAGAACACTGGAACCCCTGGAGCCCACAGACTGAGTGACGAGCCGGTGCTTCTGGGTGGAATAGATTCACTTTTCCGACGTTGTTTCGAAGTGAGAAGACAGTATACTCTAGGACCCATGCCGCCGGTCCGAACTGCAGTGGCTCTGTCGCGTTCATTCGTGTAAGGGTGACTAAGATATTTCTTTTCGCCTTTCTCTTTCTCACAGGTATGGCCTCACATGTGCAAGTTTTCTCCCCTCACACCCTTCAATCAAGTGCCTTCTGTAGCGTGAAGAAACTGAAAGTAGAGCCGAGTTCCAACTGGGACATGACCGGGTACGGCTCCCACAGCAAAGTGTATGGCCAGAACAAGAACGCGCCACCATCCCAGCCAGCCGCCACGACCGTCAGCGCCTCCCTGCCCATCCCAAACCCCAGCCTACCGTACGAGCAGACCATCATCTTCCCAGGAAGCACCGGGCACGTCGTCGTGACATCAGCAGGTAGCACTTCCGTCACCGGGCCAGTCCTCGGCGGACCGCACAACCTCATGCGTCGCAGCACTGTGAGCCTTCTTGATACCTACCAAAAATGCGGACTCAAGCGGAAGAGTGAGGAGATCGAGAACACGAGCAGCGTGCAGATCATCGAAGAGCATCCACCCATGATTCCGAATAATGCGAGTGGGGCCACTGTAGCCACTGCCACCACCTCGACTGCCACTTCCAAAAACAGTGGCTCCAACAGCGAGGGGGATTATCAGCTGGTCCAGCATGAGGTGCTGTGCTCCATGACCAACACTTACGAGGTCTTAGAGTTCCTGGGCCGAGGGACATTTGGGCAAGTGGTCAAGTGCTGGAAACGGGGCACCAATGAGATTGTGGCCATCAAGATCCTGAAGAACCACCCGTCATACGCCCGCCAAGGTCAGATCGAAGTGAGCATCCTGGCCCGCCTGAGCACAGAGAGCGCCGACGACTTCAACTTCGTCCGTGCCTATGAGTGCTTCCAGCACAAGAATCACACGTGCTTGGTCTTTGAGATGCTGGAGCAGAACCTCTATGACTTTCTGAAGCAGAACAAGTTCAGCCCCTTGCCCCTCAAATACATTCGCCCAGTCCTCCAGCAGGTTGCCACAGCCCTGATGAAGCTAAAAAGCCTAGGTCTTATCCATGCGGACCTCAAACCAGAAAACATCATGCTGGTGGATCCATCTAGACAACCGTACAGAGTCAAGGTCATCGACTTTGGTTCAGCCAGTCACGTGTCCAAGGCTGTGTGCTCCACCTACTTGCAGTCCAGGTATTACAGGTAAGGCCGTTCGCCCCGAGACAGGAGATGCTGAATGCCCAGCGGCATTCACAGAGCACGTGCAGTGTTGGTCACTGCCTGGGAGGTAAGATTGCTGCCCTCAAGTGATCACGATTTAGTCGGGAAATTAGGACGTGTGCACATTGAAATGATGATTAGAAGCCATGTAAGAATGGAGCCGAGTAAGACTCTTGGTGTAGAGGTTCAGAGTTGGGAGGGATTCCTGGGGGCTGTGGGCAAAGAGCAAAGGCATGGTCGGGGAGTCAGGTTGTCGCGGACGGGTGGAATCCAGACATGGGTGAAGGAGCGAGAGAGACACGCATTATGATCACTCTGGCGAGAATGCCCAAGACTCGCACTGCAGACCAGGAGGACACCTGCCTGGCAGAACAGAGAATCTGTGGGTGGTGGAAAATCTGATTGCAGGGATAGGTTGGGACCAGGATGTTGGGGTCTTAGATACCAGATGAAGGGGTTGCAACCGTGTCCATAAATGTGGAGCAAGTGCCGAAACATTTGAACGACAGAGGGTGGGTGATAGGATGAAAGTGATGCTCTGAGAAGATGACTCTGTGTTCATGTGGGAAGGGGATGGGAGGAGGGAGTGTCTGTAGCCTAGGGACCAGTCAGCGTGCTCCGGTGGTGGGAGAACTTTGGGGTCAGGAAGATGAAGGATTGTAGCACCCTTGGTGGGAAAGTGTGACGCTTTCATTCCTTCACTCATTCAACAAGGATTTATTTCACTTCTAACATGAGCCAGGCACAGCGCTGGGGACCGGGACACAGCCAGGAGGGCAGAGGCAAGGCCCTCGCCATCCTGGAGTCTGTGGCGTACTGCTTCCCACCCTGGCTCCATGTCAAAAGCACCGGTGGGTGAAGCGGGCTTTAAAAAATAACCTGATTTAGGTCCCAGTCCCCACAAACCGAATCATCGACACCTCTGGGGGTGGCGTCCTATATGGGTGTTTGTCACAGCTCTCCTGGGGCTCCCAGTGCGCAGCCAGGGTTAGGAATCGCTGCTCTGGTGGGACCCAGATGAGAGCACTGGCTCTGGGGTCAGGAAAGCCTCAACCCTCCACTCGCTGAGCTGTGCGACTGGGCTGGTTGCCTCGTTTCTCTAACCCCTTCGTTCCTGACCCATAACCTGGGCGAGTCCGGGCAGCAGCCGTGTTGGGGCTGTTGGATGGCGGAGCCGGGACGCAGCTGGATTCTTGGCTCCGTATCTGGCGTGTGGTCAGTGCACAAGGCTTGGATGGAAATGGGAAGCGAGTGAGTCTGTTCTGGGGAGATGGCGATGGGCTGTGTCTGAGGGCATGTTGAACGGTCTGGTGAAAATGGAAGTTGGCGAGATACGAAACTAAAACTCCCATGAGAAGATGGGGCTGACAACACATTTAAGAGGTTGACACGTGGGCAGTAGACCCAGGATCCCACGACTCCTCTGTGCCCGAGCCCTGCTGGCCCGACCCCCGAGTGAGCACGTGCTTTCCCCACACCTCCTTCCCGGCCACGGAGAAAGGCGGGGAATGTGCTTGAGCCGCGTCAGCACAGTTGGCCCGTCACACGTTCTGAGGCACATCCATCCCCCCCACACCTTGTTTGCCGATTTGCTCACCCCTCCAGCCGGCTGGCTTTGTCACAGGTGCCCTCGCCCGGCCCTCAGCCCGTGGGTCTCTGTTCTTGACCTCGTACCCCTTCCCCTGGGAGGTCTGTGGCCACAGGCCACACGTCCACACTGCCCCCTCACCTCCCTCATCTCAGTCCCGAATTACACAAGTCTCTAGGCCCCTCCACCCGTGCTGTCCTCCCCCCACCCGCCTGCCCTGAGCTTCCAGGGAGGAGCCTCGCATCTGCGTCCCTGCTCGGCTCCGGGAGGGGTGGATCTGTACTGCTCACCCGGTTCCTCTCCGCTCACCAGCTTCTTAGACACCTGCGGTCTGCTGTCAGGCCCGCAGCCCCAGAGCCAGGCAGAGGGGGAGGCTGTGAGCCCAGGGCTGTGGCCACCGAGGAAGGGGAGCCTGGGCCTGAAGGTGGGGGGAGCAGGCCCTGCGGACCCCCGGGAGAGGGTGAAGGAGGACGCTGGCCAGGGGCTGGAACAACAGGCGTGCTCTCTACAAAGTGCCCTTCTCTGAACGCAAGCTCTGGGTGGCACCATCTAGGGTCACCAGCCCATCCGTGGGATAGCCAGTGCCTTGGCCAGCTCCCCGCCGCCGTTGTCACTCTACACTTGGGGGTGCCAGTTCAGCATGCCAGGCCGCTCCTTCCTAGGTCTTGGCCTGAATTTAGGGTGAACTGCAGCAAAGTCAAGGCTGCTTGGACTTTTATTATTTTGTTAACTTGATGCCGTTTAATGGACGATACCGGCTTTATTCATGTTTTCTAAAACTTGAGCCGAGCAACTTGTAAAATGGCTTTTAAAAATTCTATTTAAAAGGCAATGCAGGGGCTTCCCTGGTGGCGCAGTGGTTGAGAGTCCGCCTGCCGATGCAGGGGACGCGGGTTCGTGCCCCGGTCCGGGAAGATCCCACATACTGCAGAGCGGTTGGGCCCGTGAGCCATGGCCGCTGAGCCTGCACGTCCGGAGCCTGTGCTCCGCAATGGGAGAGGCCACAGCAGTGAGAGACCCGCGTACCGCAAAAAAAAAAAAAAAAGGCAATGCATACTCATAGCCAAACTTGATGCACTGGGTAAGCTGACTTTGGGACTCTTGGCCTCACTCGTGTTCTCACCTTCCTGTGCCCACGTGACGTGTGGCACCCCTCTCGCAGCAGACAGACTCTCCAGGCTTCCTGCGCTTTCGTGTCGGCCCCAGTGCCCGGGGACCGGGGACCCCAGCGCAGGAGCTCTGGGCGGCAGGAGAAACCGCTCCGCCGGGTATGGAAGGCTCGTGTGCCGAGAGTCCAGGGCTCTCCTTAGCCCCCCTCTCCGTCTTCCACTTGCAGCCCCGGTGCCCCCATTTACCTTGGAAAGCTCTCCCTCTGGTTGTGATGTGACCCCTTTCTTTAGACCTCATGTGACTGTTGCATAAATTTCTGAGCAGGACCTCTTCCTCCTGTGGTCGCTTTGACCAAAAAAGACGAGTGTCCTTCAGGTCCTCCTGGTGGCCCCCCTGTGCCCAGCTCTGCTTTTAAGGGCACAGTCAACATGAAAGCCAGCCCAGTGTTTCTGCCTGAAGTGATGCTTCATCTCTAAAGTGGTCACAGCGTCCTGTTCCTCCCCCGGGGCTCATCTGAACCCCGGAGTAGTTTGCTACCACACACAGCAGTTTGAGGGTTTGAGGACAGCCTCCAGCCCGATCGGCATCAGTCCTTGCTGTGGGACAGCCAGCTCCCGGCCACATTGGTCCAGTCGAGTTTCCTGATTGTGTTGCCTCTTACAGGGGAGAGGAGGTGGGTGGAGAAGGCTCCTCAGTGGTCCGTTGTTATCTGAGAAGGTCGGCGTTTTCAGCTGCGTCGTGAGAGACTCTGTGTTTGAGCCACCTGGAGTAGAGGAGTCATCACCCTGTGGACCCAGCCTTCGACAGGGCCTGGGTTCCCCAGGCCCCCTGTATCTGAGCTGTGCCATCATCCCCTGGCGACCTCACTTTCAAAGAGGAGGACATTTAATGTCCTGCCCTGTTTTTAAGTGGACAGTATTAAATGTCTCAGCCCACCGTCGTCCCCGCCTAGCGATGTGGAAACAGTCTGATATAAAGAGATGTTCCTGTCCTCGTGGGGCCGGGGCGGGGGGGTGTACCTGGAAAAGTTGGTGCGTCTCGGGGAGCAAACGGTTTCCCCTGGCTATTAGGCACGTGCTTGGTCGAGGCCGGGGCATATTGCCGTGGTATCCTGTGAAGCAAGCCTGACCATGTGTTTTTCAGGAAACAAAGGCTGCTTTTTTCATTGTTTAACCATGATGCGTGGGTAGCCCCTTCCAACCTGACCTTCCAACTCGAAGGTCAGTTACCTAGTTAAACCCTCAAACCACGCTGGTCACAGGCTTTATTGTGCATAAGAATCACTTGGAGAGCGTGTTAAGAACACACTACCGCCACGGCCCTGCCCCAGACCCACTGCACCCCGGTCTCCAGAGGGGTGTCCCCGGAGAAAGTCCTCGCCCTGCACACACCCGAAGACTCGCCATGGGGAATCAGAGGTGAGCTTGTGCAGGTGGTTGGAGGCCCACTGAGAGAGAAAGGGGTCCTTAATGGTGTCTCCTTTGAAGTGTTCACACCCTAAGGGATGGAACTGAAGCAGATCCTGTGCAGTTCTATGAACGTATCTTGGAAGTCCCTGCCGTTTCCCTACAGCAGCCCTGCCTTATCCTCCAGGTTACGTTCCAAGACCCCCAGTGGATGTCCCTGAAACTGAGGATAGTACCGAACCCTGTGTACACTGTGTTTTTTCCTATGCAGACATACCCGTATGCATAGGAAATTTACAAATTAGACACAGTAAGAGATTAACATTGATAACTAATAATACAATAGAACAGTTACAACAATATACTGTAATAAAAGTTATGTGAATGTGGTGTCTCTCTCAGAATATCTTATTGTACAAATTCGGTGCCTTTTCCATCTTAACAAAGCCCTATCATACACTGGCCGTAACTTGCAGTTTGAGGTGCGACAGCAAAACTAGCATGAATTTTTTTTTCCTTCTTCACAATTTAACGGATAGAAGATTCATTCTTACCGTGGATCTTAGCAACCTCAGCATACTTTCTTTTTCTTTCCTTATTAAATGGAGAACTTTCACCTTTTCACTTAAAGGAAGCACTTTCCAGGCTTCTCTTTGGAGTATCTGAATTGCCAGCATCAGTGTTCTTGCCATTTGGGACCATTATTAAGTAAAATAAGGGCTACTTGAACACAAGCACCAGGATGCCACAGTCAGTCTGATCACCGAGCGGGCTACTAGGAGACAAATGGGCAGGGCGTGTCGGCCAAAGGGAGGAGTCCCGTCCTGCGTCGGGACTTTGTGAGACTTTATCACGCTCCTCAGAACAGCAGGCAGTTT